ATAAACTTTAAAAACAAAATTACTGTTTTTGTTTCATTTGTTTGTTTTTAAGATTCCAGATTAGTCTGTTCTGTTAGGATTTGGATTTAGGCTCTAGCACTCACCAGTGTGGGGCCTGGGGAAAGATAGAGAACTTCTTTGATCACTCCTTTCCTTATATGCAAAGTAGAGAGTAAAATACTTTGATTTTGTGAGGCTGTTTGCAGGGATGTGTACTCATACACATATGTACCCACACACAAATCCCTAGAAAGAGCAGAAATACACTACTGTATTTACTACCAAGGCAATTTTTAGCTATGATTAGACCCACACCTCCTATCCCATCAGACACTTAGAAGGCATACCTACAAGGAAGCAGGATACAACAGTTAATTGCACATGAAATAGGGCACAAGACAAGAGCTCTCAGCCCTTTCTCTTGCTCTGAGCAGGCTATTAGCGCCCTCTTTGTCTGTGAGCTGACAGAGAAGAGCATTTCCTACACAACACTAAAACATGGGTCTATGTACCTAGTTTATAGCAGGCTTTGAACTTGTTTAAATAACTCTACCCTCTTGAGAAACTACTATAATCCAGTGTAGTTAGTTTCTAGTTGTTTTCTGAATTACCAGCATACAAATTTTAAAACTATATAGAAAGGGCTAGGGGTGTGACTCAGTGGTACATAGCTTGCAAGACATTTGTAAGGGCTTGTACACAGTCCTCAGCACTGAAAACCATATTAACAGAAGTGATACCATACTGCAAATAGAATGACTCTTTTTACCTACCTTGCTCGGAGTCATTTCATCGTCACTTAGAGGATGACAGAAGGAAGGGAAGGTCACCATTCCCGCAAAGGAACTGCTCAGAGTCTCATCCTAGGAAGAGTTTGTACTATTTGAACAGTGACTCAAGGAAGTTGTTGGTGCGGGCAGCACTGTGAACTGGTAAGAAACCGCCCTTCACAGGCATCTACTGAAAGCAACCTTCTCTGCTCATTTCCCCTGGAAGCTGGAAAAGGGCCAGGCCTAAATTCCTGGGCCCTCATTATCCTGGAACATACATAGTATTCTCCTACCACACCTGTTCCTTTTCGTCTGTGAACTTCTGTTGATAGCCACAGAGCAGCCACAAGTGGAGCCAGACACACAGCTCAGTGGCTAAACTGGAGGACAAATGCCTTCCTTCCCTTCCCATAGGGCAGGATACTTCTGGAATGTTTTGTACAGTCTTCTGAGAGTCCCCAGTGGGGCTGAGTGCCAGGTGCTCACGGTGATATCCCATTTAATCATACACTTGCTGGCTGTTTTCCCTTCTCGGCCACTTTCCTCCCTCCTTGGTTGTGCTTCTGGGACTACCTCTTAAGTAACTACTTGCAATAAATCCTTGTCTTGGGATTTGTTTCCAGAGGATTCCCAAGTCATTTGCTCTTTCAACAGGGGCACTTCAGTTTTAGAATTCCGTTTCCCTTCCACCAGGTGTCTGTTCCTTAACCTCTTGGTGAAGACCCTAGCCCTTCTGAGGCTCTCCTGGCTTTCTGAAGACTGCTCAGATGCTGAGAACAGCTGTCGCTCCCCTTAAGCAAGAAAGAACCATCCTCACCATCTAACACTGGGGTGCTGCATCTCCTACAGTCGAGCTGCTCCATGTAGCAGGCAGGTCATCTCTGCTGACCTTCCTCAAAACAGGCTAAAGTTGCTTCAATGCTTTTTCCTAGCCCACAGGCTCACATGGACTCAGTATCTGTCTGTGCAGGCTTCCTTTATTTAAACTTTCTTCTGTACAACCAAGCCAACTGGAACAGATGTTCCTGTTACTGAAACATGGAAAGTTTAGTTTGGAGACAGGCCCTCTGCTCGCTATGGTTCATCTCATTCAGCCGGACTCTTACAGCAGCACCAAGACAGACCAGTTCATTTCCAAGGTAAAAATGAAGCACCAAAAGCTTCTTTCATCTCACAGAGATCTGCCCAAACCATGCTGGAAGGCAATATGGCAAAATGGTCTGGGTGTGAATTTTAACTCCAGCTGTATAGTCCTGAGTGACTTAACTGACATTTCTTAGCCTTGCTATAAAATGGGACAACAGTCACATCTAAGACCAGAGTTGCTGAAAGGATTAAGTGAACTGATACACAGAAAATACCACTGTAGTACCTGGCACACATGAAGAGTGATAACTGTGATTTAGAAATAAGAGTAGCAGCCTGCAGAGCTGTCTTCCCCACGATCCCTGCAAAAGCAGAGATGACACCCCCAAGTAACCTTTAGTCCTGTGATAAGCTTCTCTGGTTCTTCACAGTTCTCTAGCCAGGAAGAATACCATCAGTACCACCTTGAACTTCTGATCTAACTCTCAAGTACAGGGATTGTAGATGTGTCCCACACCTGACTTATGAGGTACTGGTAGATTGAAACTAGGGACTAATATATGCTGGGAAGCACTCTAACAATGAGCTGCATCCCCAAACTCATCTTTTTATGATCTAGCCTTATTGCTTTAATCTAGCCTCTCTCTCTCCTCCATCAATGATTTCTTTCTGCAATGGCTAGCCTGACCCTGATTTCTTCAAGTTCATCCTGGCCAGCTTCATTCCTGTGATATAACCAGTATATGTGTCTTCATCTGTCCCAAGAAACACAGGTATACACACAGGCACACATTGTTCTAGGAGGAAAGCTCAGTTCTTGAGCACAGAGCTTTGGTTATGGGTATCTGAATCTCATGATACACCTGTCCAAGTTCATTCTCTGGTGTGTCTCATAATCTCTTTAGATTTCAACCTCACTAGGCAATGACCTTTTGGGCTTCCCTTCTCCTGCTCCTGGCTCCTTTATTGCTAGTGCTACCACTACCAACAGTGTCCACACATTGCCAAAGTCCATTGTCTTACTCATTCTTCAGTGCCTGTCAAGCACCATTTTCTCTACTAAGGCTTGTGTTATTTATTGCAGAGAAAGCAGCCTCATTTTTCTCTGACAGCTCAAGTTCATCCCTGTACCTAACTGGCACTTATTATACACTATCCCGTGACTCAGAAAGAACACTGCTTTGTGAGAAATATCTCAAGAGCCAGACTTAAGACATTCTTAGAGAGGCCTACTGTGCCTTCTCAACAGAACAGTTACTCAACAACTGTAATATCCTTTAGAAAATTCCAGACACCAGTGACTGGGCATGGAGACAAATTCCTATGACTATCTAAAGAAGAGGAGTTTGGATTTCAATAAAAAGTACAACATAATTCACAAGATAAGGACTTGTTCAGGAATTAGCATTTAATGAGGATTACCTAAGCCATGATTTTGCTGCAGCGTGTTTACCTTTTAATTGATTAGATACCAAGAGAAAATTAGAAAAGGCAAGATACAAGTTCCTCAAAATGTTACCTAATTGATTTTTATTACAGTCAACAGTCAAATCTTTTGAGGAGATGACAGCTTTCAGTACAAAGAAAATACTCTGTTCTAATTATCAAGTGGAGCCTCCATAACTATAGGCAAAGGAAGGAGTCAGTAGTGCAGACAAGGGTTAAAACTCTCCATTTTACTTAAGTGTCATTGATACAGCCATACAAAGAATGTGTCTATCAGGAACAGCAGAGAAAGAATAAACTGGAATATGTCTATCAAAACCAGTAGAGAATAAACAAACTGGTTTGTAGATTAAAAGTATGTCAATTATTTTCCAACCAAACATCGAACAGAAATGTGGGTGTGGTCTGGAAGCCAATCACATCCCACCATATTTGCCCTACATCTAATGGTGCATAAATCACTTATCATTAAAGGTCCTTTTATATAGGTAAAGGTTGCTGGGGCTTGGTGTTTTATATCTTAATGCTTAAAGAATACTCTAAATTCTAGCTTTTTAACTTTTTAATCTATGGGAAAAGAAAACTAAAACTTACTGTAAACTCAGATTAATGCCTGCTAATGCAAGGAAGAAAGGAAAACTAAACCTTCCTCCTACCATAAAAACAAAATAGTGTGGCCTCTGTTTCTTTTCTGATAAGAGTCTTAAATACCAAACAGTTAACTGCATAATAACATTTACTGGCAGCCAGGCAGCCTGCTTAGCAGATATATAAAGCAGGTAAAAGGAGAAAAAGTTAATTTCTTGGCTGAATGATTCCATCGGTAGCTATAGGGCAAACCTGAAAGTCTTTTAGTAAAGTAGCAGTTGATTCTTCTATCAATCTGTAGCACACATACTCTTCCAAGGAAAGCATTAAATATGAAAATCATATCCCGTTATCATCTGTTTCCAGCTTTCAGCCCAGTAAGCTTTTCTTAATGAATGCTGCAGCCTAAGGAACAAGCACGCTGTTGGCTTCTCTGAATAATGGAGTGATGCTACCATTTTTGCTTATTACAATATCGACTGGCTGAGGGGGTTTCACATATAGTCACAAGTGACTACTCTTGCCAGCATGCTCCAAGTTATTACAAGATGTTTTTAGACATTTCATCTAAAAGAGCTTTACTGCTTTTAGTGAAGAAAACATCTATGGTCTTGAGCAGAATCATTTATATGGAGATAGGCAGAAGGATTAGAAGCCTGTATTACGGCAGATACATAGCAGAATTTATTTAAGTATTCCTTGCCAGTCTTTTTGTCTATTGCTTAGATATGCAATCTTTTCTTTCCACTTTGTCTGTGAAAAGGTTCAAATGTACAAAATTATACATACAAAGGAAAGAATCAAAGTGCCATACTTAGTTTATTTTCATTTAAAACATTTGTCAATCCAATACAAAGTAGCTACAAAACACTAATGATGAAAATACAATTTTACCTTTTGCAACCCTGAGGTTTTCTTTGAAATCTTAAGTCCAAGTGACTACCTTTTGGCAAATTTAATTAAATTAGACATTAAAACAATATCATACAAGCAAAATCCTTTAGATAATCATGGCTCCATCAACAAATCCTTATAAGATGATTTTATTTAAAAATCACAACATTCTTACAATTGTCTAGAAACATAAAATTCATTGCCTTACTGTCATACCTTTCCTCTGGCTTCATCTTTCATTCCCAGGCTGTCTTTTAGCAATAGGTGTATCTTCTTCGTTTCAGCCTCATATTCAGTCTAAATAGAAACAAAGTTTGATTTTATGGTAGATGCTATTACAAGTAAAAGCCACCTATATCTTGTCATCTTTGCAACATAAAAGGAACAATGGAGTAGAAAGAAGCTGATGATGCTGAGAAATTCAGTTTATCTTAGAAAACAGGCAATTTCACAAATAATATATATCAAAAGTTGAACTCTATAAAATGTTACATATATTTTAAAGTAAAACAAGGCTTAGTGGATTTTCAGTCTTCCATATTTTTATGAACTAAAACCTCAATCCTCAATACACACACCCCAACAGCATATTTTCTTTACACTATCATGAAAATCCAGTTGCTTGATTATAAAAGTTAGGTATTAGGTGTCTATTTCCAAAGCCTTAAAAGGAGAAAAATAAGTCCTACAGATTTGCTGTATTATTACATAAGATATCTTATATTATCATGACCTTCAAAGTCACAGAAAATTAAGTACATTATTTGCTAGATCATCAATTTAAATCAGTTTTACTTTCTAGGAATAAAATTATACTGTAGGCAGTCACCGTACCATCAGAATCAAGTTTACTCTGGCATCAGTGACTTTATCAAGAGTTCTACATCGTTACCTCACTATAACTGATGAAAAAGATTCGATTCCAAAATGTCTTTCACTAAAATGCACAGCATGAAAGTACTTTGATTCAGTATACTCCCATTCAAAGCCTTAAAAAGCCGCTGATTATAGTCCATCACAGATAAATATCAGGATATTTGTGAATTAAGCGCTTATACAAACAATTAGAAACATATCTATGAGATAATGAATTAAAGGCTGTTTTTTTAGTTCTCAGTCTGAACAAAAAAATAGGTCTGAAATTTGTTTTGACAGACAAAAAATACATAAATAATAATAACCCAAGCTGAACATTTGCCTTAATATTTTAAAAGATACTATACATTTCCACCTTTTTAATAACACTTTTTCTTCTAACAGGTGCTATTAACATTACAGAGGGCAATAATAATCACGTAGATATGTAGCTAAAGTTTATATAAGACCAGTGCAAATGACACAATAAGATGATAAAGTAAACGAAGATAGTGGAATACGGCAGTTATCAAAATGCAGTTTGCATGTTTCTCCTCTGTGGCTACATGTTTGAACTCAGACAGACTCAATTCCTAAGCCCAAAATCTTTAAAACTGCAAACTTGTCAAAGACCAGGAGAAGCATCTTAAAAATCAACGAGAGACGGAATACAACAGAGACAAAATAAAAACACATAAACTGTTCCTGTGATGTGACTAAGTTTTTTCGTTATGATCAGTGAGTACTGGACTAGTCTGGTGATTAGGGAATCTTTTCAGAGCCACCTCCTACTTTTTCACAGAAGCACAAGGTTTTTATTCAATTTATTATGTTGAAGCAAAATGCAAATGATCAAAAGGACAGTAAGAAATGTATCCTCAAGAGCCTGACCTAGACTGTACTCAACACGTTGAACATTTTAATGAACTGTAAGGTACTCTTTCTAAATTATGGATCAAAGAAAATTTGTTTAATAAATTTTGAAAACCAGAATGATGCTACCATAAATTGATAATAAATACAAATTATATCTCTATACCCTTTAGAAGGATCACCACCTACAATAATCTATTCTTCTTCTTTGCCCTTTATAGGACATTTAGTAACGACCATATCTATTTTCTGAATGCTAGAAAGTCTCCAACTGCAGGACTATTAGCTCCCTCGTTCCACCTTCTCTTCAGCTGCAATTAAGTAAAGGATCCTACTACTTTCAAAAGTTCATTTATGGATGGATGCACACCAGCACATCCCAGCACTGTTAACAACAAACTGGGCCACGGGAAGAGGAAGCAGGTATTCTCACAAACATTTCAGGTCTCTGGGATCTCGCTCCACACTCACAATACATCTCACTTCCATATGCTTCCTCTGTATTCTCACTTTCAGTCCCTCAGCTGCCCTTGCCCATGCTGTCATCTGCCTGACAATCTCACCACTACCCTTTTCCCCTACTACTTTCTTTGCCTCGCTGCTTTCTGGAATTACGGTTAGCAGCCCCACTTCCACACGTTAAAACTGAAGATGGGCACAGTAACAAGTTGTTCTCAGGTAAATCTGGTTTTCTCTCACCCTATTTTTTCCAGTATACTTGCTTTCTCCTAAATAGCACTTCTCACTAGAAGACATAAGAGAACTTGCATTTATTCAACTAACACATGTACTAACAAGAAAGACATTCTGGTTGTTGAAAAAAGAGATTTGCTACATATTTACCTTTTAGGTCCTTAAAGATCATAGCTTGAGCAAAGTATTTGCCACATGCTTAGTAGAAATCTAAGAACTCAAAATACATGTTCTCAGTGTTAGCCCCCTTCAGCACATAACCTAAAGGGAAACCACACCTCTAAACAATGAAACTGTGCCTTCAGAATGACTTTGCTATTAAACATAAGAGCTTCCTAGGAAGGTACACATAAGACATAATTAGCACCATATTAGCTCTCACATAGGTGGCATAATCCATAAGAGAACCAGCCCCCAAATACGGAAGAATTAACTTTCAATCAAGTCGCAATGCTTCCTGAGTGCTTATTGGAATCCCAGTCTAGTGTGACACAGAGCAAGACATACAAGAATAGAACAAGGAACCCGCAGTGAAATACAAACAACTGCTACATAAAAAATTAGAATATCATGAAAGAAATGCAGAGGTAATTACGACACAGACTTAAGGCAGGGCAAAGGGACAAAGGCAGCTGTGAGATAATGTGAGGCATTCAAGGAGATGTAATTTGTTTCGCAGGTTAAAGCACTGTGGAGATATGTGCCCATGAGAGAAAGGGTGATTATGTCCAGAGGATAAAGATGTAGAGAAACAGTGGAAAGACACAGGGATGGGAGAGGTAGAGGAAGGAAGAGATGGGGAGAGAAAATATGTGTGTGTAAGTACAGGGGTGCATCACAGGTCTGAGGCTGGAGGTAGTGAGCAGGTAGAGACCAGCACCTGGGCTCTGTCCTAAGATACCTAGGTTACCACCTCATAATTGGGTGAGGTTTGCCCTGGTGATAATCCTTCCTGAATTCTGACATACTGGTGCCATGCCTGGTACAGTGCGGCAGGCAGCATATATATAAACAAATAAGTACTCTATATGTGTCTCTGGGACACTGACATAAAAGATCAATATCTCCTATGACAAACTCTGCTTACACCTAAACTGATGGTATCACAAGCTGGGTTTCTGACATTAGTGTTGGGTTCTGCGGGCATGTGGCAAGCAAGCAGCTTTGGATTCAGAGTGACTTCTACATTCCAGTACTACACTGATCCTATGTCCTTTCAACTGTAGCTACATGGTCTATTCTTTGATTTCATCAACAGAATTGTTTCAAAAAGGGAATTCTTACCCAAAATTCAAAGCAACATAATTTTTAAGCATACTGTAAATAAAACTTTCCATATTCTTATAAAGTTTGTTCTTTTCTGAAAAAAAAAGGTCCCTTATGCTGATACTCTTTCCTAGCTCATTATATAAGTTTCTAAAACATCTGTTATATATACCTAATACTCAATATAAAATGATTTACGAAGGACGATTTCAATTCCTTCCTCCAACATTTGATTATAAGAAGAAGTCAATCATCAGATAAGGCCACACTATATAAAAATATGAGGGAATGTTCTATTATTTCCTTTGTTCCTAGTTTGTCTACTGCCTTATTTCCTATGCGAAATCCCTGAGCAGTTTACAGTGTGGATAATGGCAACTGCTTCTGAACCTTAAGCACTTGCTAAAGCCTAAATATAGCTAATTCCAGAACTTAGTTTCAAAACTCTGCTCCTCACTTAAAGCCACTGTAACCCTTGAGTAAAAGGCTACAGGCAGAGAAGACAGAAGGAACACGTAGGTTCAGAATCCAAGGGTCATGTAGAAAGGGCACAGCAGTCATCTAATGACTCCCAATGGCTGCAGGTGTAGCTCAGTACATGTACTAGTTTCAACCCCCAGCACCCAAAATAGAGACTTCCACTGGCTACTTTTGGAAAAACAGAAAACAAAAATAACTATTGATAATATACCAATTAAATAAAAACTAATGTTCATCATGCTATTGAGAAAGAAGGAGGGGGCAAGGAGGAAATTCCTCTTTGTTACAGAAGTTTCAGTTAATTGAATATATAAGTAACAATTGACAGTCTGGACAACCTCCATTATGATAATTCTCTCAGAAAGGCTCATCTACAGATCCCAAAACTAGTGGGTAAAAGGTGGCTAGTGAAGAATATGATCTTCCAGGGATGCCAAGCCATCACTCCACAGACTACTTACTACATTCTAGGGGGAAACAGGTCTCTAGAAATTACCATCTTAACCACTCCTTTATTGGACACTAAAGGAAGCATGATTCACCTATGACTATTAACCAAAATCAACTAGAACTAAAGCATACTGTCAAGCCACATTGTCATGGCTCCATAGCTATGTATGGCTGACTAGTCAATGCTGTATCAAAGAACACTGAATAGACCTAGAGTATTCTCAGGACTGCACAAAGTTCTGCCAGGCAATGCTAGTCCAAACCACATTTCCAGTTCAAAGGGGATGGGTCAGGAGGTAAGGGCAGACTCCGGATAAGGAAACTAAAACTCAAGCTTCAAGTGACCAGCAATTTGCTGCTTTCATCAAAATAGCCAATGCCATAAAAAAATGAAATTAGATTAAAATAGACTTTAAAGGTTACGATGATAATATAGATTTCAAATAACATGTAAACTCTAGTGGGTTCATGGTCTAGAAATAGAAGATACTTTTTAGGGGAACAGAAAAGATTTGAATTGGAGCTGAATATTATATGATACTGTGGATTATTTACTTAGTTTTAAGGGTGATAACAAGAGTATAATTATGTAAGTTCATGTCAAGAACTTAGGAGAGAAATGTCATGGTAAAACCATGATTGCTCAAGAGCACATGCACATACAAAACTAATACTGCAAAATATTAATAACTGTTACATCTAGTAGAGAATATGTGTCCATTAAAATAATTCCTTTCATTTTTTCTGTATATCTGAAATTTTTGAAATAAAATGAGGCTAGAGAATAACTACTAGAACACACACACACACACACACACACACACACACACACAAAAAACCACTGAAATCAACTTCTCCTAAAGCCAGTATTCTGTTGGGTTAACCTGGGCAACAACCCTGCCACTGCAAATAGCAAGGAAAAAAGACAAGCTCTGGCCCTCCAACCCTGGCATAAGTTTCAGAGCACTGTGTAGGCATATACTAGAAGGGAGTAAGTGCCAAAATAAAAGGGAGCCTTGAATAGCAGTCCCTGTACCACAGAGGCCAGGAGCATGAAGGTGAACTCCCAGGGAGCACTCTTTAGTGCTCCCCATCCCTAATGGACTCTTAACCTTAAGAGCAGCCCAGACCAAAAAAAAAAAACCTCAACTTACAGAGGGAATCAGCTTCTAAAGGAACCTTCCTGCTGCTTAAATTCACACTTTTTACCCACAAATAACCCTATTCAAACAAGTGAAAGTGGCTTCCACTGATCTGGGAAAGCTTTTCAAAACACACTGTAGAAAACAAGATGTTACCTTCAGTTTCTGCAGCTTCTCTGTATTTGTGGTCAGGTGTTCAACATAAGTCTGGACACACTCGAACTTCTTTAAATATCCTTGGTTTCGGACATGAGCCCTCCTTTCAGATTCACATATTTCCTTCAGGTATTTCTTTAGTTTTGCATATTTCAGCTTAGCTCTTAAGAAAAAAAGTAGATCTTTAATAATGTAACTCAAATTTAACAAACTTAATAATTTTCTTTAACACAAGTGTTACTAAGACAATAAAAATCTAAGAAATTTTACTCAAAGCATTGAAGCCTGGGGACAGAATGCATATATAGTTTTAGAGAAAGAAAATTATTATGGTATCACAAAGGTATCCCATTGGTCACAGCATGGTATACCTCTCCTGAGAAACACAACAGTACCACTTGATAACACAGTAAAGATGACTATGCTGTTGAGACAGGGCTCAGTAGACAGCCTAGGATGCAATCCTCTTTCCCTGGCTTTCCCGGTGTGAATATTACAGGTGTGCAGCACCATGCCTGTCTGCACCCTGCCCAGCTACATGGATTTCTTAATTGGGAGGGGGGGGGTTCACTGTATATCCCTGGCTGTCCTGTAACTTGATCTATAGGCCAGGCTCAAAGAGATCCACCAGCCTCTGACTCCAGACGGATGTTGTGTGTCACCACACTCAGCTCTGGATTTATTTCTTAAACTGAAATATGGTTTCAAGAGCAGTGTCTCTTTAGTCATATTCACATACATGCATAGCCCAGTGTCTATATGACAGACAATTTTTAAAATGCTCATATCAGGACAGAATCAAACTATAAAATACAGTCCATAAAATTAAGAAAATTTAAAATACAAAAGTTGTCATTTCAATAATGTAAAAATGTATTAGGCATTACAATACATTACTGAAATATTCTGTAGTAATATATAAACCCAGAAAACTTTTAGAGACTCTTATCGAAACCGTAATATTATAAGACATACTAGCCAGCTCAAAGCACACAACATTCACTTCTCATAGACCAATATACTAATTTTCTTCTTCACAAGTATCTGAACCACAAATGAGAACCTTATGGAGCATTGTAATATTGGTCCAGTAAGATTTTATATTCTTCATCCAAATTTTTTTTTTTTAGTTTTTCGAGACGGGGTTTCTCTGTATTGTTTTGGAGGTTGTCCTGGAACTCGCTCTGTAGACCAGACAGGCCTCAAACTCAGAGAGATCCGTCTGCCTCTGCCTCCCGAGTGCTGGGATTAAAGGCGTGTGCCACCAACGCCTGGCTCTCATCCAGATTTTTTGAAGATGCTAGAAATCTCCAAAATTAATCAACATCAGATCTTAAACCTCTAACTCTAAGCCAGCAAGTTTCCAGAAATCCTGCCCAGCCCCTCCCATCTCTGGGGCAGTGGTGGTGGGGAGTGTTTAAGTATGAATGTGTGTTCTGGTGTAAGTTGGAGGACAACCTCAGGTGTCAAACCTCACTTTCTACCTCATTTGAGACAGGGTCGCCTGTTGTTCACCACCACATATACCAGATTAGCTGGTTCACAAATTCCTGGGGAGCTCTGGTCTCTGCCTACCATCTCGGTGTGGGATTTCAGACCTGCACCACCATGTCTGGCTTTATGTGGATTCTGAACTTAAGTCCTCAAGCTTGCCTAGCCAGGACTTCCTCACTGAGCCATTTCCCCAGCCCAGAACAGTATCATACTAATAATGTACTTTAACTCTGATTGGCTATCTTCATTTTTCCTTCTGAATAAAACAATCTACCACTATTTTTACTGCCCATATCGGCATTTTTGGCAAAAACGACAGTAATGGAGGAAAATCCAACATTCTTTTTTCTAGAGACTTAATAAAGCTGCTTAGTAGCCATGCCTTCTCCACTCAAATCCTAGTGCTCATTCTTTCAAAGTTGGTCATGCAAGTCATCCATCCACCCGTCCAAGCAATCACTCATCTATTCAGCAGTGCAAGTATGAAAACTGTCTAGTTATAGTCAACAGGAAAACAAGCGGATAATTACTGTGTGCTAAATACTATGAAGGAAAGTAAGGAACTTTTCCGAACAACCTACCCTAGCTGAACCTGCAAGGAGGCCCTTCCAGGGGCAACAATTTTTCAGGTAAGGGCTAAAATATGGATAAAAGCTAGCAGATCAGCTGTAATAATTACATGACTTAACCACTTAAGAAGCCAAATATGTTTAAATAAGAAACAAAAAGACTATTCTGCCTTATTTTAAAATATTTAAGCAAAACCTTATCTCTGAACAAACACCAAACCAAATAGTGAAAACAAAATGTATATTTAACATACATAAAACTATGATATTTACTTCAAGTTATTATGCATTAAAAATAAAAGAATGATAAAAGTATTCCAACTATAAAACATAATAGGGGCTAATTTTTTTTTGAAACAGGGTCTCTGCAGTCCTAGATGTCCTGGAACCCACTATGTAGACCAAGTTGGCCTCAAACTCACGGAGACACAGAGATCTGCTTGCTTCTGCCTCCAAAGTGCTGAGATCATGTGCCACCACTATAAGCTGTAGGCATTAAATTGTGACTAACAGTTGTAAACAAGCTAGATAATCTCACTGTCATCTTACCTGCAAGTATCAGACTTATTGTATTCATAAAGCTTGTCTTCCAGGTCCAACCTCTTCTTTTCACTGTAATAAAAAAAAAAGGGGTCACTGTATTATATAAGCTAATGTATTTAGACCATGATGTCCTTTGAAATCACACCTTTGTGAGACTGTTCTATCAATCTATTTTAAAAAAGAGAATGTTGCACAATAAAAGACCTATTGTAGAGCATGAGACTCTTAATCTCAGGGTCACAGGTTTGTGCCCCATGTTGGGTGCCAATTGTTTCTTGATAAATAAGAGATCCAGAGATATATATTGGGGTTCAAGCTTCAAGCTGAAGATCAGAAAAGCAACAAAGCTGCTCACTAGCTCTTACTATACCTCAGAATGAACGGTGATCCTGGCTTCACCAAACCTCAGACATTAACCTCTCCTCAGCATGGTTGGAGAATCCTGAGACTTCAATGTCTTCCTATCTGCAGTGTGGCTAGAGAATGAATCCCTCCTATCCACAATGTGGCTGGAGAATGAATGCCTGATACTGACTACTGAAGACCTTGCTCCTATCTTTTATACTTCTCTAGTGCTGGGCTTTAAGGCATGTGAACCCAGGTGCTAAGATCATCTTTGCATGAGCTGTTTTTCTTTAGGACTGGATTGATCTTGTGTAGATCTGGGTGGCCTTGGACTCACAGATATCCGTCTACCTCTTAATCCTGAGTCCGAGAGTTAAATTGTGTACCACCACCTCCTAGCTTCTGGCTACTGGGATTAAAGGTGTGTATCACCACTGCCTGATCTCTATAGCTTGAAACTGACTTTGTTTTCTGAATCCTCAGGCAAGCTTTAATAAATCATAAATAATATATCACCACAGGAGAAAATGTCAATGGTGCTGAAACAAAGACCTGTCACCAAAACAGTAGAAAAAACAAGAGGTATACCAATATGAAGCAAAAATTCAAGATTTTCAACATCAGTGGAATACTGTCATGCGTGCCTGTAAACCTAGGCTGCTGCAAGAGGACTGGGACATTGAGGCCATCCTGGACTACATAGAGAACACTTAGCTAAAAAAAATGACTAAGATTCTCAAAAAAGGGAAAATGTTTGAGGCCAGCCAGAGACACATGGGACCTTGTCTCAGAAAGCAAACAAAAGAAGACTGAACTCAGAATAAATGTGGTAAGGACATCATATATTTATTTCCACATTAGACACATGTATTGAGAGTATGATTATTAAGCTTTCAAAGGTTTCATAACCAATTGGGTGCTTGACTCATGAAAAGTGAATGACTAGATTGTACAGGGAATTTGTACTTAAATTACAAGGACAGACAGATCTTTAAGTACATCTAGGATGCTGTGCCTCCATGGTACTAAGCTCAAGACTGAATGGCTGAAGTCTGACCATGAGGAATCATCTAAAGGACCCAGCTTGGGGGTTACCATCTAGAAAACTTAAGAAATTGTCAGGAAGATGGCCAACAGGTACAAAACAAAAAAATACATTCCAAGAAGATAGAAGAGATATGGCACACAAAATGCAAACTATGTTTCCCAATGACCCTAGACCAAAAAGAACCAGAAAGAAAAAGGGACATTGTTGGGACAACTGGTGTCTGGCATGAGTGTGTGGACTGACACAGCAAGACTGACAGGAAACTATGAGAGTAGTACTGTGGTTACATAAAAGAACATTCTTACCTTTTTTTCACGGTTTTAGTGGTGATGGGCTATCATACCTGCAGTTCCAAATATTTCACAGAAGAGCACTGATTTTAATATTGGGACTTCAGGAGAATGTGTGTGGAAAAAAACGCAGGAGGTCTTTGTCTCATGTTTGCAATTTTGCTATAAGCCTGACTTTATTTTAAGATAATTTTTAAAATGAATCTGTTGTATCTAGTGAAAAGGGGCCACCATTTCTTTGATAGTCCATCACTTCCCAAATTGCAAGTTCTTTTTAATAATGATGTAAAAATCTTTGTTCTCAATTCCCTCTGCTAATCATGATTCCTCTCTCCAAACACTTCATATCTTAGCAACCAGTTAGACACATTGTGGCTCTCTATCCCAAGCAAAAATGATGTTGATCGTGTCAACGACTCATCTTCTAACTCCCTCCTCCATGCTGCTGCATCTCTGAACAGCAATTCTTTGTATGAGTTTTAAACATAAGGCTTAAAAACTGGATATTTACCTCAATGAAAGTTAGAGGAAAGGCTTACTGGTAGGATCACTGTGTAATGCCTACATATCAAATCTCTATTTCAGAATCTCTGAAATGCCCAAACCTGAGATGCTTACATAGCCCATTCTTCAGTCACTTGTACCCCTCATCTGGGCTTTCACAGCTGGGCTGTTCTTACCAGGCTGGAGGTTCTGCATTTTAAGGCACTTATTCTGTCTATGCCTCAATACTACAATTTTCCATCACCCTCAGCTCTACTTAACTAATATCTCAGTGTCAATTTCTGGACCATTATGATATGTTACCCTGAATCAATATCACCATTGAAAATAACTGGGGCTGGTTAATGGACCTTTCAAAGGATGTTTTTATATACAATAATTGTTAAGCATCGGTCCCACTTATATGTTTCTACCACACTTATAGGCACTATACACACTGCAACATGTCACTCCATTAGACTCTTTTAGATTCAATTATTGACTTTCACGACAATGCAGAGAAAGCACTACATACACAGAGAAAAACATTCCAGCTATAAAATTACACCTATGTGTGAATACAGAGAAGATGACTAGGGTTCAAAATATGGCAGTTTCCAAGGAAAAGCCCAGCTATCAGATCAGCTAACATCTCAATGACTGTCTCTAAAAGGGTTGAGAAAGGGTGAACTGTGTTTATTGTTGCTGTTAATCTCCAGCTTCTCCAAAGCTTCCAAATTGATAATGCATTTCTGACTGCATTCCAAATTGCAATATTTGAGATGACCGTGGACTTTCAGGAAACAATGCTCCCTATGCTGAGACTGGATTTTAATTTTAAAAATCTTATTGTGTCTGACACACACACAGAGAGAGAGAGAGAGAGAGAGGAGAGAGAGAGAGAGAGAGAGAGAGAGAGAGAGAGAGAGAGAGAGAGAGAGAGAGAGAGAGAGAGAGATTGAGATTCATGTATGGCAGTCAGATGACAATTTTCATGAGTCATGTCTCTCCTCCCACCTTATAGGTGGGATCAAACTCGGGTCATCAAGTTTGGTGGCATGCACCTTTACTTGCTAATCCAGTTCAGGAGTCCAGCTTTAATTTTTTAAAAGCCTAATCTAGATTTTTTTAATGAGTCCTTATTTTACATATTAATCTAGTTCCCTCATTCGGCTGATGAACCAAGGTTCAAAAAGGCCAGATGACCCCTTTTCAAGGTCTTAGGACCTGCCACAGCTAGAACTCATGATCCCACACTCTTACTGTAGTGTTCTTTCTAAAGTTACTTGCTTCTCTATCTTGTGTGTAGCATGCATTAATTAGAGTTACTTACAGATTCTTAAAATGAAAAATGATCACACACGGCAACAGATTTATACTGACTTAAAAGTAAAACAAATCTTCAAATGCAGGACCATGAACAGGCCATAAAATGTGACTCCAATTTCTTACATAACTTCCACTACCTTACCTTGCTTAATAATTAAAGCAAAAAGTGCTAAACATAAAGTGGATAATCATTACACAGTTATTGTACCATAAGGACCATAAACAGCCAGGTGTTCCTAGCACAGGAGGCAAAAATAACTCACCATTAACTCAGTTCAAAGACTGTCATTTAAGTCAGAAACATTTTAAGACCAGATCTTTGGCTATGAAACACAAATAAGTAAAGACCCAAGGTAACTACACCACTCTTCAACTTCAATGAGCTAAAGGAACCAAAAACAATTAAGTCTTGTTTTTTAATTATCTGCTGTATGCAGACATTTAATATCACCCTGGATGACTAGAAAAGCATCATTATTTAATGACAATATGAGGCTACTGGGTTCCACATAAGGCATTCATAACATCTAGACAGTAGCTAATTAACTCTTGGATTCCACTCAGAATTCAAATATTTTACAAAACACCTCTTTCATAACACATACTACACTGTAAGCTAAAGGGTCTGCTAGGTGCCATTTTCCTCCCAGAAGTCTCAGTGTAGGCCAAAAAAAAAAAAAAAAAAAAGACGAAGTAAAAAAGTCACCTATGTTCTCCCCAAGAGTGCAGTAAGTAAGCTGAAGGTACAAACATTAGGAAAGTGTTTGGAAAAGAAAGGCTCTGCGGCGAATGATACACAGTTTTAAAGACAAGGGTCTCACTACACTACCCTATTTGACCTGGAACTCATTATGTAGCCTAGGCCAGCCTTGAACCTGTGGTCCTCGTATTTCTGCCTCTTCAGCACACACTACCACAAGCATACCCGTAACTGGTTACTTTTATTTTTAAGTGAGAGATTAAGAGATCTCTACGGTAGGTGCACAGGAATGTGTCAGAAAGAAAACAAGATGTAGAAAGAAGATAAAACATGGGAAGGACAGTTAAGGCCTGTCGTAGATAGTTTACAAATAACTGGCAAAAATTAAGTCTAGCATAAGATGTCGTTCCTTTGAAAAAAAATCATTTACTTTACCTCACCCGCAATTACTGTTATCATCTTAGAATTGTTACAGCTCTTCTGTTCCATCTGAATGATTCTGTAACTTTAACACTCATTAAATGTTTTGTTTATCAAGAGATCCAAAAACCTATTTCCTTTCTTGTCAACTAATGAGATTTCTAAGTCCAACTAATTTGGCAGCAAAATAAGTGTTCCAACAACTTATCTCTCATGTATATGTTATGTACAGTCAATTGCTTTATAATTTTCTCTATTTATGCATCCTTAGATCTAGCTGTTTCCAATAGTTCTCATCTTTCATGTCTTAATCAAAGGCAATCCCAACCCTCAAAGCTGAACTCCTTACAAATTTCATCCCTTCACTAGAAATTTAGGCAGCCCCAGACACCTCCAAATGATTCCAGCATTTTGACAGGGCATGGGTTTCAAACACTCACACACCACTGCACTCCAGCCTTCGTTCCTGGACCTGTCATCATTGATGCAGTGTGAGTGTCACACTAGGATGACAATTTGAAGAGAGAATGAGGAGGGGCCCTGTAGAAGACGACTAGAGAAATTCACAAGGCTTGATGGAGACTGGCAGGCAAAAGAACTCCCACTTCGGCAGCATCCTCAGGCTGAGGGACCTGGCTTTAGTTGCCATGGGAGATTACAGTCTCTCACTGCGCCTAACTCAAACATAGGGTCATTTGTGGTGAACTGTGTGCTCCGGGCCCCATCCGGAGTTAGTGGTGGGTCTCGGGCGAGCCCCGGGCCTGGTGAACCATTGGCGGGGTCAGGAGGAGGAACACCAGACAGGGTACCAGAAGCTCTCAGTGGCGCAGCTGACTCCCCGCCCCGTCCCGCGGCCGTACCTGTCCCGCAGCGCCTGCTGGAGCTGGGCCACCCTTTCGTAGTAGCTGGGGCTCCCCAAGGGCGCGGATGTGGCCGGGTCCTGGCGCACGCCACAGCCTCCGCGCCCTCGCGGCATCGCCACAGGGCAGCGCGAGGGCCTGCGTTGCCAAAGGAGACCGACCCGGCATGCACCGCGGGTAAACAAGAAGGCAGGCCGCCTGAGGAGGGCGGGGCGGAGGCGGGGCGCCAAGGAGGCGGGGCAAAATGACGGTTGGGGGGACGGGGCGGGGAGCGGAGCGGAGGTTGAAAGCCAGGCAAAGCGGCGAACCCTGGTAGTATAGGCTACCCAGGAACCAGAAGTCAGAAGAGATGTGTCACCTTCTCTCTGCTACATTTGCTTTTCTCTTCCCTGCACCTGCTTTAGAATCCGTTCCAATGGCATTCATTTTATCAGATGCAATTTCTTGCTTCCCACCCCTTTCCCTGCCTCTTAGAATTTGCAGTGAGACACTGTGGCAAGGTTGTTGGGCCACCAGGACTTAAAAAGCAAAACAAAAAGCCAGAAGAAGAAAAAAATTAAGAACTCCAAATACTCAGCAGATGTATGCAATCCCGTGCTGTCCTTGGAACGTGATGGCTCCAGTTGTCACCACCGTTTCCAGGAGAGAAAGACTTGGCTTCTAAATAGTTACTTGTGAATCAGACAATTTACTTTAGCAGACAATCCTCCAACAAGGCCTGGAACCAGAATGCCTGGGATAAATCCTCTCTCCCACTGCTCAGCTGTGACCATGGAAAAGCCAAAGCACCCCAGAGTGAATCGGGCAGTCTGTGACAGCAAGATAACTTAACCTTAGATCATTTAAAATGAATTAGTGGTTATAAAGACCCAGAACACAGTGACAGCTTTTATCATTTCCTCCATCAACACTGCAAAAAGCTTCCAGAAGAAAGACAACAGTATTTTAAAACACATTTGGAAGGGGAAAATAAAAATAAAAAATGTTATACACACATATATGGAGTCACTTATTCTACACTTTTTTAGGTTTCTTTTCTCAAGTGAGTAGTTTCACTTATAATCAAAGTGTCACTTAAACCAAAGCCTCTTTAACAGTGAGTCAGGACTCTGTGTGGGTGGCACAGTATCTGAATGGGAATGGGGCTTTGTGTAAAAAAGTGTGCAACTGTAAACCATTCCTGAATGTGCAAAACCAAAACTCAATTGAAAACCAAGACATTAATGAATCCCAGGTGTTTCTGGAAGCATTTGTTCATGTTTCATTCATTGACATAACATGCTTACTCTGCACTGTTCATGTCTGTCACATTCTGACTTAAAATACTAAATTGGTCATTAGGGAAACCAATGAAATGCTCTAAGGTCAGCACATAAGATTATGATTTTAAGCCGGGCGTTGGTGGCGCACGCCTTTAATCCCAGCACTCGGGAGGCAGAGGCAGGCAGATCACTGTGAGTTCGAGACCAGCCTGGTCTACCAAGCGAGTTCCAGGACAGCCTCCAAAGCCACAGGGAAACCCTGTCTCGAAAAACCAAAAAAAAAAAAAAAAAAAGATTATGATTTTACATAGCCTTTCTTACCCATGCTGTCTGCCTACATGTTGTAAGGTACAGACTGAACTGGGCTGGGCAATATATCCATGTAATCCTAGCACTCAGTGGTTGAGGCAGGGGGGTTTCTAATTCTAGACAGGCCTTACAGACCCTGCAAGCTGTTTTGAAGGTATGACAACCTGAATTTGATTTGATTCCCCAAAGTTGTCCTCTGACCTCCACTTATATGCTCTAACACACATGCGTACACACACACACACACACACACACACACACACACACTATTCATCTAATTAAAATATCATACATCAGGATAGCAGACTAGAGTTAAACACAGTCTCTCCTCCTGTCTTCACAGCCATACCTTTATAAGAATGTGGACTTCCAGGGTGGAATTCAGTTCTCTGACTGCCTTCCTAATCCACCCCTGAATTTCCCACCCCAGGTTCACAGGTGCGTGATGAGATACCTCACTCACAGTCGGGCTGTATGTGCTCTACCTTCTCTCCGTTCAACAAATCCTATCTGCATCCGCAAGCCTATCTCAGCCTCCTTTTGGCCTAAAGCTAAACACTAGTGTTGGCTCCTTGTAAAAATGGCCCAGGAAAGAGGTCTCTGAGGGCCCTGGAAAGCAGTTTGGGACCCTTTGGGCAGGAAATGCTAGGGTTCTGGGTACCTGGCACTGTGTTCTAGGTGGTGTGCATTTGCACATCCCCATGGGCATGTGCTCGACTCTAGGGCCTCCTTTCCTCATGTGAAGTGACCAGAGAAGAACCACAACAGTCCTGTGATTTGCAGAGCTAGCACAGGACCCTATTTCCCAGTGGCTATGTTAGCATGGATATGACTTATACATGGCTGCTCTATCAATTCATTATATCAAGTTGGTTCATGCTTGTGTGCTGAAGTTTGTTTTACTAATTTTAGTGTGTGATGATTAATCTTTGTTGTCAACTTGATTCCATTTGGAATCACCTAGGAGACACATCTCTGAGATGGGGATGTTTCCCAGATGTATCCCAAGAGATTAACGGAAAAGAAGGATCCCAGATGTGACTTGCAGTATCCCACGGGCTGCAGGGCCTAACTACATAGAAACAGAAAACAAGATAAATGTCAGAATTCCTTGTTCCTTGTTTCTTGACTACCCAGATGTGAGGAGTTGCAACTGCATACTTTTGCTGTCATGAAATCTGTTATCCCTTTCTTACCATGGTGGACTGTTCCATCTTAACCCAGGAACCAGAATAAATCCTTCTTAAGGTACAGTGTTTGGTCACAGCAATGAGAAAAGTAACTTATATAACCTTACTACAATCCTGTCAAAAATAAATACCTTTTATAAACCCTCAAAGCACATGAGTGACCAGCTCTCCCCAACTACTCTATTGTCCAACTGGGTCATTCCCAGACCCTTGAGACACAGGCAGCAAAGCTCCACCCTACAGAAAAAAGCACAAGATCAGGCCACGAAATCCCACCAATCCCAGACCACACTGGAAAGCTCATGGCCCCCAAGAAATCCTACATAAAACTTGTCTCCTGCTCAGTTCTTTGTTGCTTCTCTCCTGATCAGAGGCAGCCATCCTTTTCTGTCTTTCCCAATAAATCATTTGTGTGAGGTTTGTATGGTGTGACTTTGTGACTGCCAGGATACCTTTCCCCTCAGCACTGTAACACTTAAACCTTTAATTTTTAAGATATTTTATTTAGGTCTGCACATTCTTCCAAGATAACAATTTTAAAATTACATTCAGAAAATATCTCAGAGTAAGCAGATGAGACACTCATCTATCATCCCTGCCCCTACCCCCTTTTTTGTTTTTTCCAGGCATGGTTTCTGAGAACTCAATCGGTAGACAAGACTGGCCTCAAACTTAGAGATCCACTTGTCTCTGCCTCCTGAGTGCTAGGATTAAGGTGCACACCACCACAACCAGGTTGCATGTCAATTTTTATCATGTCAGTTTAGAAGATTCTAAAAGTAAAAATAGTTAAGCAATAAATATTCAAAATAGTTAAAATGCTCAGGCTATGGTTGACACATTAATGGCATACAATAATTCAAGGTATAGAGCCTCTTTTATCAACAGCAACACATAGCAAATGGAAAGAATATTTCTAAAGTATTTATGCCAAAAGTATACATTTAGAATAATGATAAGCATTTAATAAATTTAGGATTCTTCACTTTAAATACTTAATTTAAAATGTACTCTCTTTTAATATTTTTCTTTAGTTCCTCTATCTAGCAGAGTAAATTTCTGAAAGTAGCCTGACTGGCTACTGGATGAACTAGAGATGAGAAGGACTCTGACTTCAGCCCCTTATTTTATTTAATTTATTTACACATTTTTAAAGAAAGGGTCTTATTATGTAACCCTAATGGCCTACAAAACACTATGTAGACCGTACTGGCCTGGAACTCATGACAATCCTCCTGCCTCTACCTCCTAATACTAGAATTACAGATTTATTCTACCACCTTCAACTTTGGTTTCATTTTAAAGATGAAGAAAAAAGTCATATAATCTGTGTAATTTTAGTTCAAAATATGTGCCCCCAGTAAGCCAAAAGCACTGGAAGTCAGTTAGTCTCAGCCCAGCATTCATGTGGGTCTTTGGATAAGCTACACGAAACTATTGTATCTGTTAACTAAAGCAATTGAATGAAATGATGACATGGTTTTTGGAAATATGTTGAAATCAGAATATTACCTTTTAAAAGATAAATATCATGTTCTTTTTCCCCCACCTTTGATTGAGCCCTTGAGCATGTTAGGTAAATGTTCTACCATTAAACTTCCACATGTACACATACTTTGTGTGTGTGTGTGTGTGTGTGTGTGTGTGTGTGTGTGTGTGTGTGTCCTCACACAAGCTTTTGTATTGGGGGAGGGGTTCCTCAGAACCCAGAAGAGGATGTGGATTCCCTTGAAGCTGGAGTTACAAGCAATTGTGAGTTTATGGGTGCTTGGAACAGAACTGATGCCCTCTGCAAGAGTAACCAGCTCTTTTAACCATCTCCTCAGCCCCTCCTCCATTTTTTAAATATCTTATATAGCTAATTCAGTAACTACTTGGGTATTGTGTAAGTTCACTAGCGCTGCTACAGCAGAGTACAGGTGGCTGAAGTAATAGGATACATTGCGTCACGTCCTAGAACCTAGAAGTTCAAGATGGAATTCTCTGTAGGGTTGGTTCCTTTCTTTGGTAAGAAAAATCCCCATGCCTCATCTAGATTCTGGTGGGTTGGAGGCAATCTTTGGTATTCCTTAGTTTTGAGACACTGCATCCCAGTCTCTGCCTTGATATTCACATAGAGTTTTCCCCATCTTAATGATTTTTAAACTAATCATTTCTCCCAGGCCCTTTTTTTAAACACCATAATCAGATTAATTTTCTACTCTGTTAATACCTCACAAAGGGCATTAAATTTTGGTAATGGAACCCTGGATGACACACTCAAACCATATCCAAACAATAGCATTTGAGATGTATAAAATATATACTATGTCACTTAGAGTTTTTCTTATATGGACATGATTACTGTTGGTGAATAAGACGCATTTACATAGAATGTGTTTTCTACATGTTATGTATGATATTATACTT